TTTTCGGCAAATGCTTCTAGCTAAACAAATTAAGACTGGCCGCCAGAACTGGCAGGAAACACCCCCAATTAAATTTCAGCTTCTAGTTTTCCTGGGTCCTGAGTTAGCAACTTACTAGAAAAAAACTTTCACGGGTTCGCACGTGCAGCGCATACTCGATGTCTCGGTTTGAGCTCGTTAAGACTCACTTGGGCGGGAAGCATCTTCTTAAAACACAGTCTTTTAGCTTTTCAGGTTCTCGAGTTATGAACTTATCCGAGGAAAGCTTTGGCGGGCCCGTACGCGGGTATCACGTTTACTCGGCGACTGGGCTCGAGCTCATTAATACCTACTTGGATGGGGAACACCCCTTAAAATTTCGGCTTTCAGGCTTTTATGGTTCGCGAGTTAGCAACTTACCCGTAAAAAATCTTGGCGGGCTCTTACGTGGGTACCACGCGAGTAAGACCGCCCATTTTGGGGCTGGGGGCCCGTACGTGCATGTAGATTAAATCCCCAAAGTTTCAGCCCTGTAGCTTTTGCCGTTCTCGAGGTGAAAAATCGGTACAGAGGCCCTGCGCCCAAAACACACACACGAACACACACACAGACACATACACTGACCCACAGATAGCCTCTTGTCAATTTGCGTTTTCCGCATTGCATTGCTGCAAAAAATGCATATTGTGAAGAGGCTGTGTGTGTGCGTTTGTGTGTGCGTGTACCTGTGTGTGTCTGTGTGTTTGCATTTTTGTAACCCACTTTCAACTCGGGAACCAGAAATGCTAGAAGGCTGGAACTTTGGGAGTATGCGCCCATACCATGTGCTACCCTACGTTTTAATTTTATCTCCCTTGAAAGCCCGGGTGCCGCGTACGGAAACCTTAAAAAATATGCAAATTTTTTGGTGGGATAGCGATCTCGTGGACCACACGAGCTGAGGGGCTGAAACTTTGTAGGGATATTCCTTGTGCAGGTACTAGCTAAAGGTTTTAAATCCAGCTCCCAGGTATGCGTGGTACTCACGGAAGGGCGTACGAAATTTTTTGCAGAAAGATTACTAACTCGGGTATCAGGAAAGCTAGAAAGCTGAAATTTTAGGGCAATGTTCCCTGTCCAAGTATAACTTAAGTATTTTAAATTCAGCCTTGAGGTATGTGTGATTCTTACGTAGGGACACTTAAAAGTTTTGGCTGAAAAATTTCTCATTGGACAGCTAAGTTACTTTTAAAGAACGATCGTTAAATGGAAGTTGTACATTTATTTTATGCAGGATTTATGATGATTTATGCTACTGGCCACGAAAGGTAGGTATAAAGCAACAACCATTCATGCAGTTAATGACCTACGTACTTCAAGTCCGGTGCAAAAGCGTATGATCGCACGGCCCGCCCGGTGCGTTCCAGCCTGGGTTAGTTTTTGGATAGTGCTTATACTTCAAACGGGGCTGAAGTACGAATTAAAAGTTCGCAAATCAGCCTCGAAAGACCTGACTCAGCTGCAGTCGGAATGTGGGAGCATCTCAGTAGACTCCTGGTCTGCTTTGGCAATTTTGATATTACAAAAAAGACAATGCAGAGTGACTGAAATGATGCTATCGAGGCGCGGAAAGGAGCACAAGCATGATTACTATGTGCATCAAGGACGCTTTGTTGGCGAACGAAATTTACTGGATAAAAATGACTTCGTTTGTTTTATTACCTTTGAAATACTTCTGGCATCAACGTTTGTTTGATGGACTGTAAGCAGACAGCAATGCGGGAAATTCGTTGTCTTTAAAAATCACTCACACAAATTGTAAAAGGGTAGCAAAATCAGTTTTCCTCTGAATAATTGCTTCATTTATTTTATAAAATGATGCTGGCCTCTCTTAGCATGTTTGGGAGAGTGAAATTGCCTTTAGCTTGCTTCTCAAGCAGTGTTTAGAGAAGTCGCCGATTTGGCCAATCTACGGTTGTTATGTAATGAAACTCCCTCAGTCAGATAGACAGTTATAGACTTTTTTGTTTAGAAAATAAAAGGTAAGGAGAATTCTGGGTTTCAGATGTGAAGGTATGAAAATATAACTAGCCCCAAATAACATTTATAACTCTGGGTAGCTTACTGAACAAATGAATATGTTTGTACTCCTCAGCAGTTTATTAATAAATATTAAGTATAGAAATTTAGCGCCGTGAATCGGTTAAGAAGCCAAAGGTGGAATATCGAACATCGACCGATTGTGTTTTAATCAAAATCGACGAAGATCTGATGGACTTCATCCGGGCATTTGACCGCTCGATCATACGTACAATATCACGAAAAGAGCAAACGCGTCGACTTATCTATGAACTCAAAGAGCAGCAAGAGTCGTATGATTTTTTTAAACTAATATCTCACTGCTAGAAAATTAAGGCACCATATCCAGAAGCATTTTTTCTCAACATAATTTTCGCAGTATTACGGAGGAAAGAAATTATTTCTCCTTTCTTCGATACTACTGATTGAAGGCAGGACAAAAGAAAAACTCTAAGACTCAGTGGCTCTTCCTGTA